CGGCTCACGGGTGGGACGAACCTTCCCCCAGGAGACGGGCACCGCCTCATCCTGCGCGGCGCCCACCTCACCGCCCAGGAGATGTTCACGGCCTTCGCCTCCCACGTCCAGGCCAGGAGCGCGGAGGACGGCGCGGACAAGCCAGGCGGGCGCTGACGGCCCCGAGGACAAGCCCATTGTAACCTGGGACCAGGACGGGGCTAGGAGGGTGATCTCAGAAGACCTGGTCTTAGTTGTTCATCCCTATTCCGGTCACCGTCTGGAGGGCTCCGGAAGTGTGGGGGGTGGGGTGGGAGCGTGCCTCTCCACGACACTGCGTTTTGGACACTTCAGGACGAGGGCAGAGGGAGGGGAGGGCCGGTCTGGACGAACTTGATTTTTTTTTTCCCCCACTTTACCGAATTTGGCTTCTTCCACCCATCACATTATCTTTTAATGTTGCTTACAAAACAAAACACAAAAACCTGTGCTGTTTCCTATTTTAGTAGTTTTTCCTACTCTTAATTTGCCCACTCTGGTTTTTCTTAACCATAATCTGTGAGTTAAACCCTTACATTTCTGTTTGGTTCTAACCCCAGCTTCTATGGTACTACCAGCTTTTACCAAATACCAACGTTCTTTGTCAAAAATAGCATTATTTTACATCATTTCTCCCATTCCTTTCAAAGACAGCTAATCTGCTCAGCCACCTTTGCTGATAAACACAGTATTACCTTATTCTGCCTTCTTCCTTGCCCATCATGTCCAATCTTTATAAAAATGCTCCTCAGATGATCTCTCCATTCCCATTCATTCTGAGTATCACTGTTGCAGTGTCAGGACTGTCCTCTTTTATGTATTGGTGCTGCTAAATTTATCTTCCCAAAGTGCATGACTCTGCTTATCTCCCACCAATGTTTCAGAAAATGCTGGCTGAAATAAATTTTTATACTGGGTTAACATCTATTATAGTGATTGTGAGATCAGTTTATATCAGCCATTTAAAAAGGAAAGAAAAGAAATAAAGAATATCAAGTTAAGTCATGTAGAATGGGAAGCATTCTACTCCCCCCTAATAAATTTTTTCTTTTTTGTTTTTGTTTATTAAGTTCTGTACAGAAAGGTTACAATTCCATAAGTCAGGTTATGAGTATAATACTTCTTAGACTGGAGAGAGTGAAGGAATGGAAGATAAAAAAAACTTCTTAGTATCAGTCCTTGATTCTTCCTCTTTTGTGCCTACCCACAAATTACATAATTCATTTTTTACACGGTGTACATTGAATACAGTGTACATTTGCTCACCGTCCCTTTCCATTTCCTACTATTTTTTTTGGGGGGGGTCCGGTTGTGGGGCCTGAACTCTGAGCCTGGGCGCTGCCCCTCAGCTCTTCAGCTCAAGGCTAGCACTCTACCACTTGAGCCACAGCGCCACTTCTGGCTTTTTTCTTTTTGCTTATGTGGTGCTGGGGAATGGAACCCAGGGCCTCATGCATGCAAGGCAAGCGCTCTACCACTGAGCCACCTTCCCAGATCCCCCTACTGTTCTTTCAATAAAACAGTACTTTAGTTGTTCAGAGGATATACCTTTGGATAGGAAACTAAGCTGTGTGTGTATGTGCGTGTGCTCACACACATTCAGATTCTAACAGTACTCATCATTTCTTATTGTGAGTTATAGGGGGAAAAGCTGCTATTACAGACTTTATTATACTCAATTATGGCAATCAAAGATCTCTTAGAGGCTGGGAATATGGCTTAGTGGTAGAGTGCTTGGCCTGGCATGCATGTAGTCCTGGATTCCATTCCTTAGTACCACATAAACAGAAAAAGCCATAGGTGGCGCTGTGGCTCAAGTGGTAGAGTGCTAGCCTTGAACAAAAGAAGTTTAAGGATAGTGTCCAGGCCCTGAGTTCAAGCACTAGGACTGGCAGAAAAATCTCTTAGAGACAGGTATATAGTTTGCAAAATACGTTTCATATGACCCTCCATAACATTACTATGATCTTTGTCTACCAACTTTACCCTTCCTACAGCAACAGCAAACAAACAAACAAAAAAACTTCCTGGGGTCAATAAAGAGCCGGGCTGCCATGATTTGAAAACTTGGTTCTGCTCTAAGTAGCTTTGTAAAAATTACCAGTGACTGCATACTTATTCACTGAATAAGGATAATATTACTGCCCTCTGTATCCATCAATTCTGTATTTTTGGGCTCAATCAACCGTGAATTAAAAATGTTCTAGAAAAGTAATTGCATCTGAACTGAACACTACAAACTTTTTCTTGTCACTAATCCCTCAACAGTACTTACAGTGAAGCAGTGATTTACACAGCATTTACCTTGTATAGTGAAAAAGTGATCTAGAGATGAGTTAAAGCATACAAAAGGAAATGTGTAAGTTTTAGGCAAAACTGTGACATTTTAAAGTGAATGTGGTAGCAAGGTCTGTAACCCCCCCCCCCACCCCCAGGAGGCTGAAGTTGGAGGATAATGAGTTCCATGGCAGTCTGATACAAACAAGACACATGTGTCCAAAAATAAAGTATTGTGACTGTTTTACAAGGGATTTGGGCAGGGCTCAATCTATAGGGACTTAACAGCAGTCCTAGAACCAAATCTTGGACTATTTCAGGGGATGACTGCCTGCACTTAGGTCTGAGAATTTAACAAGTTAATACCTGTAAAATGTCTACAACAATACTGGGAAGATAGATACCTTTTCTTTTTCCTTTTTCTTTTTGGTCAGTCATGGGGCTTGAACTGGGGGTCTGGGTGTTGTCCTTGAGCATTTTTGCTTAAGGCTACTGCTCTACCACTTGGAGCCACAGGTCCACTTCTGGTTTTTAGGTGTTTTAATTGGAGATAAGGGTCTTGGACTTTCTTGCCTGGGCTTTGAACCATGATTGTCAGATCTCAGCCTCCTGAATAGCTAGGATTATAAGCACAAACCACTAGCAGCAGATGGGAGATGACCTTTCTAAGCTGGAAAGAACACTGACAGCCTGTGTTTGACTGCTCAGTGCCATAATTAACTGGCTGTTATCTTTTTTTTCTGGCTGTTATCTTGAGATAGGTTTTTTTTTTCCTTTAGTACTAGGAATTGAAGTGCATGAAGTGCCCTATCACTTCAGCCATGTCCCCAACGCTTTTTATGGTTTTTATCCAGGGTTGGCATCAAACTCAAGGTTCTCCTGACTCAGCCTTTTCTGTGGTGCCTGCACTATAGATATGGACTACTACTCAGTTTTGGGCCAGTGTCAACCAGTTTTTCCTCATGGGTTGAATGCTGGCACTGTGCTTCTAAATGGTGAACTTCTAAGTTGTGGATGTTTACTCCCTGACCTCATCGTGATAACAGGTGTGTAATAAACATTTGTTGAAATTTACAGACATTTAGCATTGACCTTGCACGTTAACAGTGATTACTTTTGGACACAAAAATAAAATTCATAGAGCGCTTGCTCTACCACTCATGGGGCCCTGGGTTAGATCCCTCAGCACCACATAAGCAGAAAAAGCTGGAAGTGGTGCTATGGCTCAAGTGGTAGAGCGCTAGCCTTGAGTTGAAGAGCTGAGGGACAGCGCCCAGGCCCAGAGTTCAGGCCCCACGACCAATTAAAATTCATGTGTGTAATAAATACCATAATAGAGATGTGGACCAGGGCTGGGAATATAGTTGAGGTAGAGCACTTGTGTAGAATGAACGAAGTTACGGGTTCAGTCCCCAGCACTGCGAAAAGAAAAGAAAAGCTAACAAATTCAGCTGAACATTGGGTTTGGGCGGTATATACGCGCAAGTTTCTGGGTTCGATCCCCACTACTGCATAAAAAGGAAAATTGTAGGCCGAGTGGAGATGTGACTTCTCTTAAGTCCCAGGTAGGATGTCCACGACACAACTTGACCGGACGCCAGCCTGCAAGTACCAAGTTAGCTACTACTACCCAAGCCTGAGGTCTGTCCAAGTTAGCTGTGCTTGTTAGGGCACCGTTTTCTACGAGCGACTGGAGCCAGCTTCTAGAACAAACAAAACGCTCGAAGTGCGGCGATGCTTCCTTCCGCTAAGCTGTCAAGTAAAAGAAGCCGAGAACTGATGAATGTACGGGACGCCCAGCCACCTGCCGCCAGTCACGGCGGTTCCGGGCTCGGGCACTCGGTCTGACGTGGAGGGGCGGGACTTCCGGGAGGAAGTCTAGTGGAGCGGGAGGCGCGGGCGCAGGTGCTGTTGACAGGACGGTGGTCGCTGGGGTGCGGGCCGCGAGCCGGAGAGGCACGGCAGGGCCTGTGCTCCACTGCCTCCTTTCGGCAGTGCCGATCTCCGTGCCGGGATGGCCCGGGGCGAGCGGCGCCGCCGCGCTGCGCCGCCGGCTGAAGGAGCTCGGACAGTTGAGAGGGCGGCTCGGGGCGGTCCTGGGCGTCGGGACGGCCGGGGTGGCGGGACCCGTGGCGCGGTGCGGGGTGCGACGATGGCCGCCGTGGTCCTTGTTCTGGCCGTGGCTCTAGCTCTGTCGGGACGTTGGATGGTAGCGTGGCACCGTGCGCAGCGGGCGGTCACTCTGCACTCGGCACCCCCAGCACTGTCCCCCGACTCATCCAGCCCCGCCGTGGCCCCGGACCTCTTCTGGGGCACCTACCGCCCTCACGTCTACTTCGGCATGAAGACTCGCAGCCCGAAGCCTCTACTCACCGGTAACCGGGCCTAAGGGCGGGCAGCCCAACCTTCCCGCCAGAATCAGGGTGGGGAGGCGTGGATCAGGAGTTATGAAGAGGGATGACCCGAAAGTTCTCGGAGTCCCAGAGGGACTGCGTTCTCTTTGACTTACACGGCCATTCTACCCCCAGGACTGATGTGGGCGCAACAGGGCGCAACCTCAGGGACCCCTAAGCTCAGGCACACGTGTGAGCAGGGGGACGGCGTGGGTCCCTATGGCTGGGAGTTCCACGACGGCCTCTCCTTCGGGCGACAACACATCCAGGATGGGGCCTTAAGGCTCACCACTGAGTTCGTCAAGAGGCCTGGGGGTCAGCACGGAGGGGACTGGAGCTGGAGAGTGACTATAGAGCCTCAGGTCAGGGCCTCAGGTTACCCTTTCCTAAGCCCAGACTCCCTCCATCCCTTCCTTACTGCCAGAATATGCAGCCTGAAATGGGGATTGACAGCCAGGGCAACGAATCTGGCTGCCTGGATTTGGTCCTACATTATTTGTATCACATCTCTGCCTATCACCTTTTAAGTCTTAAATTTCTTTGTTTGTAAAGCAGAGATAGTAGCATCACCACCTAACTCACAAGATTGTAAGAATTAAATGAAATCACCTGTGTCAATTCTTAGTACAGGACATAGCACTCCAGTACTCTCCATTCCCAGAGAGCCCTAAAATCCATTCTACTGCTTGTACCCACTTACTGAGTTGAATGGTGATTCTCAACACTGTCAGATATTTGTTGGTCCATGTTATTCCTGCTTGGGATCCTTTTCCCTCACTAAACGTGATTCTCAAAATAATGCCAATCAAGTTCTGTTGTTTTTTGTTCTCTTTGGTACCCTAGGCTTCAGGTACCCCTGCCTTCCCCTTGGTCTCCCTATTCTTCTATGTGGTGACAGATGGCCAGGAAGTCCTACTACCAGAGGCTGGACCCAAGGGGCAATTGAAGTTCATCAGTGGGCATTCCAATGACCTTGGTGACTTCCGATTTTCTCTTCTACCACCAACCAGTCCAGGGGACACTGCACCCAAGTATGGCAGGTAAATGGGGAAAGAATGTGGTGGTAGTAGTAGGGGTGGTGTGCATGTCAACTTGGCCTGATTCTATTTCCCCTAGCCTACCTGTTTTGTCTTCTCCATCTCCTTGTTTCCTATACTGCCAAGGGTGCCCATCCTGACTCCTGATTACCTATTTCCCTTTATAAACCTATCCCTTCTTCCTGAATAATATTTCCTGTTTGTCTTCTTGCCTTCAAGCTACAATGTCTTCTGGTCCTCCAACCCAGGACTGCCCCTTCTGACAGACATGGTGAAGAGTCGCCTAAATAGCTGGTTTCAGCATCGGCCCCCAGGGGCTTCTCCTGAACGTTACCTTGGCTTGCCTGGATCTCTGAAGTGGGAGGACAGAGGCCCAAGCGGACAAGGGCAGGGACAAGGGCAATTCTTGATACAGCAGGTTACACTGAAAGTCCCATTTTCTGTGGAATTTGTGTTTGAATCGGGCAGTGCCCGGACAGGAAGAAACCAAGCCCTGGGGCAGCTGGCAGGCAGCCTACTGACCCAGGCCCTAGAGAATCATGCTAAAGCCTTCCAGGAGCACTTTGAGAAGATCTTCCAGCTAAAGGAGAAAGGCCTGACCCCTGAGGAGCTGACCTTGGGTCAGGTTGCCCTCAGTGGCCTCCTTGGTGGGATTGGTTACTTCTATGGGCAGAGTCTGGTATTGCCAGACATGGGGGTGGAAGGATCAGAGCAGAAGGTGGACCCAGCCCTTTTTCCACCTGTCCCTCTTTTCTCAGGGGTACCCTCCAGGTCATTCTTCCCACGAGGCTTCCTTTGGGATGAGGGCTTTCACCAGCTAGTGGTCCAGCGGTGGGATCCACGCCTCACTCGGGAGGCCGTAGGCCACTGGCTAGGACTGCTCAATGCTGATGGCTGGATTGGGCGAGAGCAGATACTGGGCGATGAGGCCCGAGCCCGGGTGCCCCCAGAGTTCCTAGTGCAGCGGGCAGCCCATGCCAACCCTCCAACCCTGCTCTTGCCGGTAGAACACATGCTAGAAGGTGGTGACCCTGTTGACTTGGCCTTCCTCCGCAGGGCTTTCCCTCGCCTACATGCCTGGTTCTCCTGGCTCCATCAGAGCCAGGCAGGGCCAGTACCACTATCTTACCGCTGGCGGGGCCGGGACCCAGCCTTGCCTACCTTACTAAACCCCAAGACACTGCCCTCTGGGTTGGATGACTACCCCCGGGCTTCACATCCTTCAACAACTGAGCGCCACCTGGACCTAAGATGCTGGATAGCACTGGGTGCCCGTGTACTGTCACAGCTTGCAGAAAGGCTGGGGGAGGCTGAGGCCGCTGCTGAGCTGAGTCCCCTGGCCGCCTCACTGGAGGCACAGGATACACTGGATGAACTGCACTGGGCTCCAGAGCTAGGAGTCTTTGCAGACTTTGGAAACCACACAAAAGCAGTACAGCTGAAACCGAGGCCTCCTCATGGGCTGGTTCGGGTGGTGGGCCGGCCCCCACCTCGCTTGCAATATGTGGATGTCCTGGGCTATGTAACTCTTTTTCCCTTTCTGTTGCGGCTTCTAGACCCCAACTCACCCCGTCTTGGGCCCTTACTTGATGTTCTAGGTGACAGCCGCCATCTCTGGAGCCCCTTTGGACTGCGCTCCCTTGCAGCTTCTAGTTCCTTTTATGGTCAGCGCAATTCTGAGCATGACCCTCCTTATTGGCGAGGTGCTGTGTGGCTCAATGTCAACTACTTGGCCTTGGGAGCACTCCACCACTATGGGCATCTGGCTGGTCCCTTCCAGACGCAGGCTGCCAAGCTATACAGTGAGCTCCGTGCCAATGTGGTGGGCAATGTGCGGCGGCAGTACCAGGCCACAGGATTCCTATGGGAACAGTACAGTGACCGGGATGGGCGGGGCATGGGCTGCCGCCCTTTCCATGGCTGGACCAGCCTGGTCTTACTGATCATGGCTGAAGAGTACTGAAGCAGAGATGGGAGGAGAGCCCGGCCACTCACGGCATTTTGAATCTGGAGACAAGATCTGTGGCTTCTGACCCTAGTCCCTCAGATGCCAGTAATTCAAACCTTCCTTAGCTCATCTCAGGTGTCTTCTACTATCATCCCACATAGCCCTGGGGTGAATGTGAATCAAGAGTCTATTTTTCTAAATAAAGTGAAAAAAAAAAAAGCATAACCAAACTCTTGTTTTTACCGGTTATGGCCTGTCAAAAGGCATTAGCTCAGTTCAGGCCTTGGGGCTCCCTACTGTCATAAGGGAAGATAGATAAATGGGCCATTATCTGTCCCTCCAAACAACCAGTCAGGTCAAATACAATTGTAATATGTTGAGTTCTAGTTCACTCAAATCCACAAACGGCTGGTTCACATCTCTTTAATGAGATTAAAGGCTCCTGTGTATGTGTTGGGGGGTGGGTAAAGCTAGCAGTCTCCCAGTACTGCCCCCATCCCCAGGGCTCCCGCCCTTTCAGGTAGATAGTAGGAAGGACAGGAGGGGCCAAGAAGGACTTGAAAACAGGGCTGTCTCTGGTGGCTAAGAAACCTATCCATCCAAGACTACTTATGGTATGTCTCCATTTGAAGCCAACCCCACAGGAGAGACCTGTAGCATGGGTTCTGGGGGCAGTGCACAAGGAGACTGGCCCTCCAGACCTGGTGGGGTGGCACTAACCCTCATCTCTTTGACTGGCTCACCTTCACTGGAGTCAGGACAAGGGCAGAGCTCAATACCTGAGTCACCAGTTAGGCGACGGTAGCGGCAAGAGGGGGGGGTGTGGGCAGGGCTCATTCCTGCCCCAGGCTCACTCTCCTGATGAGGGGGAGCACTCTGGTGGGAGGAAACACCTTCCACATTTGTCCCCTCGCAGTGGGCAGGGCAGCTGGATGCAGAGGAACAGCAGGTGCATTCACTGGAAGCAGTCAAGGGGTGGCCGGGGGCCATAGTGTAAGGAGGTGGCGGTGTGCCTGGGCGATGAACCACATCCTCATAGGCTGGGGGTTTGAAGGCGCTGAGAAGGCCTGTAGAGAAGAGAACAGTATAGGCAGTGGAAGGCAACCAGGATGGGAGAGTGTCATATTAGGGGAAAAGAGGTTCCTTGAGGGCTGGGAATGTGGCTTCGCAGTAGAGTGCTTGCCTAGCATGCATGAAGTCCTGGGTTTGATTCCTCAGTACCACATAAACAGCCTGAAGTGGGGCTGTGACTCAAGTGGTAGAGTGCAAAAAGAAGCTCAGGGACAGTGCCCAGGCCCAGAGTTCAAGCACAAGGACTGACAAAAAAAAAAAAAAGTGTTCCTTGAAATGACTGCAAAAGGGAAGTTGGGGTGATTCAGGGTCCTGATTTGAGAAGGGATACTAGGAGTGGACCTAGAGCCTCAAGTCACTCACGAAGGTCAAGCAGTGAACTGGTGGGAACAGGGCCAGCCCCATGGCATGCCCCATGGTAGGCCAACAAGTTGATCTCACGTTGCCGCTGCTGTTGTTGCAGCCGGAGTTTAGCTCGTCGGTGGCGGAAGGCGCAACAGCAGCTAAAGAGGATGAGGACAGTCCAGAGTAGCCAGAACCCTGAAGAAGGCAAGGATAATATATCTCAGATACCTCCTAAGCAGAAAGGGGTCCTTGAAGGCTGCAATTATGAGGCAGAAGGGAGGGTAGGCAGAGGAACTTGAGAATTGTCACTCTTGGAGACTCACACCAGAGCTCATAGTAGTAAGTGCAGCAGCCAGTCTCCCCGCAGCAGTGACCACTCTCACAGAGGTAGGGCTGGTTGTTCACGCCTGGGCACAGCTCTCGAAGCTGAGGGGCAAGGAGGCACTTAGAACTAAGGGAGATTCTAGCTCAAGACACCATTCATCCCAACTCCTGCATGCACATACAACTCCCACCCTGTGAGCCAAGGTCAGCTTGGAAAGATGCCAATAGGGGATTAATAAGGGGGTAGTCAAATATCTTCAGGGTTGTCCATGTGGGAGAGGATTTGGACTAGAAAAAAAAATCAATCTAGAAAACAAAAATATGGACATGCAAAGAGAAAGATTTCAGTTGTGTACATCCAAGACCTGTCTCAGTCAAGCCTGTCACCCTAGGGTGCTTTCTGTTAAGACAGTGTGAGATATTTTAAAGCCTCAGACAACAGGGAGGGATTTAAGGTCACTTCCAAAGCTAAAATGCTTCCATCATCCCCCACAGACTGACACCCCCACCCTCCCTTAGATCTTTCCACCCGTGGCTCTCAGGTTCTCTAGGGTGGAGAGGCAGTGTGAGACGCAGAGCAGCGCTCCCAACCAGCTGGGATTACTGTGGGTGATAAAGGATGGCACCAAAGGCACAGGTCTGGGTGCCATCTCTTCTCCAAATTGCTCCCTTAGGAGAAAATACTGCTGGACTCTGTTGTGACAATAGGCATATAGAAAAACACCAGAAATAACTGTTGCAAGACAGAAGGAGGGAGCCTCACTATGTTTCTGGTCACTGGGGAGTCACTGCAAGCTTCCACTGCAGCCATGGGATGGTGTCTATGAGGCTGCAGGTAAAGTCAACTACGTCTACATTTCAAAGTTTAGACAAAGAGTGAAAGGGATATGCTTAGGAACTTCACAGTACCTTTGGCTCCGTAAGTTCCTCCCCTAACCTGCAACAGGAAGGGACAGGAAAGGGGAAAGCGAAATAAATGGCTGTCGTGATAGGCTTTTGGAGCTGTTGGGATACCTGCTGTTGCGGCGCCCGAAGTGCCCCCCAGGCCTCCTCGCTGCCGTTCCCGCTGCTGGCCCGAGCCATGCCTCCACCTACAGCCCCCTGAAGACCACAGCCTCCTCTACCGCCAGCTGCCCCGCCCCTGCCACCTCTACGTCCACCGCCATGGTCCCTGCCCGGCCCATCTTCAGTGCCGCCACCATCGCTCAGCGGCCCGAGCTTCCATCCGGGGAGAGCTCGGCCAACTAAAATCTTGGTTGCCTAGTCCAACCAATGACTACCGCTCATCGACGGACCGGCCAATAGGAGCAGAAAAGAGAGCTCTCCCTATGACCAATCCACCGCAGCGCCTCCTCCGCTCTCCCAGACAACAAGAGCTTGCACAGACAAAGAGTGGGGGACGGCTCAACCAAGGGTCCTGACTGACAGCAACAAGAGCCAATACAGACAACAGAACGGGCCTTGACTTGTCAGCCAATGGGAGACCGTCCAGAAGAGCAAAGTTCTCGCTGATTGGCTCGAACCATATTTCCCATCCGGATGGAACTGGAGAGGTTCGGAAAAAAGTCTACCCGAGTTCGGTCGGTCGGTGGCAGACCCGCTGTGCTTCTTGCCGTCGTTCCTAAGCCCCTGGGAGGGCAAGTTGTGTGTTCCCAAGATTCGTCTTCCCTTATCCCCTCTTCCCCCAATTCTGTACAAACAGGAGCGCCGGATATAATTTAATAAGTGGGAGAAGACAATGAAAACCAGACATAGACGAGGGTGGAAAGTCCAAGTTTGACTACTTAAGTAGCCAAAAGCGGGGATGCAGGGCCTTCAGGTCCCCCCAGCCGCATCTGCAGGTTGATGCGGTAGCACTGAAGACTACACAGTGCCTGGCCGGTTCGGGAGCAGGCGTAGCGGCGCGGGTGGGGGCAGCCGGGGACGGAGCAGCGTGGAGGAGGGCCCGGAGGGGGTGGCCGCTGAGCCACAGCGGCGGGGGCAGGGACGCCAGGTGGGAAGGAAAGGGTGGAACCCTGCGCCCCGCTGCAGTAGCGAACCATGGGAGCCAGGGCTGCAGCGCGCCCACCCCGCCGTTCGCCCCGCGCCGTCCCCCGGCCTCCGCGGCCGCTGGGCGCAGCAGTCTTGGTGAGGCGCTCGATCGTCTGGTTCTTGTGTTCCTCGGCTCGCCGGGCGGCCTGCAGCCGCCGCTTCCGGGCCCGCTCTTCCCTCTTCAGCAACATCTCCTCGGTGAGGGCAGGGGCCGGGCAGCCTGCAGCCACCGGCAGCGGCAGCATGGGGGAAGGCTGACTCCGCGCCTTCTGGAGCAGTGCTCGCTGCAGGGAAAGTGAAGGAGGGTGTTTGAAAATAGGAGATGAGAGTGGTGCGGCCCACCAGGGTCTCGGGAGGGGGAAAGAGGGCACATGGAGAGTAGGGTCTTGCAGCATGAGCACGGGTAGGCGAGAATTAATAAACACCCACTTTGGGGGCTCTTACTATATAGCTTCCTCCCAGGTCTCACGTTCAACTGTATCTCCTTGATTCTCAAGGAGAAGAGTTCCAAAACTCTGTATCACCTTTTCTCAAGTTTTTGTTTTTAATTAAAGAGAAGTCTTGATAGCATCAATTGAGTAACTGCACACCAAACAAAAAAAGATACTTTTTTTCCCCAGCCAGCACTGGGGCTGGGGCTTGAACTCAGGACCTGGATGCTGGTATTTTTTGCTCAAGGCTAGTGCTTTACCACTCCAGTCACAGTTTCACTTCTAACTTTTTGGTGATTAACTGGAAATAAGAATCTCATAGACTGGGGCTGGGAAGGTGGCTCAGTGGTAGAGCGCTTGCCTTGCATGCATGAGGCCCTGGGTTCCATTCCTCAGCACCACATAAGAAAAAAGTGGCACTGTGGCTCATAGTGGTAGAGTGCTAGCTTTGAGCTGAAGAGCTGAGGGGCAGCGCCCAGGCCCAGAGTTCAGGCCCCACAACTGGACCCTCTCCTCCCCCCAAAAAAAGAATCTCATAGACTTTTACTGTTTGGCCTGGCTTCAAACCACAATCCTTAGATCTCAATCTCCAGAGTAGCTAGGTTTACAGATGTGAGCCACTAACACCAGACTTTCAGAATTATTATTATTATTGTTGTTGTTGTTGTCAGTTGTAGGGCTTGAACTCTGGGCCTGGGCCTTGTCCCTCAGCTCTTCAGCTCAAGGCTAGTGCTCTACCACTTGAGCCACAGCACCACCTCTGTTTTTTTGAGTGGTTTATTGGAGATAAGAGTCTCATGGAACTTTCTTGCCCAGGCTGGCTTTGAACCATGATCCTCTGAGTACCTAGGATTACAGGTGATAGCTACCAGTGCCCAGTTTCAGAATTATTCTTGATTACTTTTTCTTTAATCCAACCCCCACCCCTCACAACATAACCACTAACAGCTTGTGTGTGTGTGTGTGTGTGTGTGTGTGTGTACGTGTGTTCACCCACAGACAGACACACACGGACAGACGGGGTCACAACACACACACAGACACAGACACACAGACACACACACACACCCGCACGTGCGCGTCTGCAACAGGATTTGAATTCAGGGCTTGAACCTGCTTAAGTGCTCAAATGAATTCAGGGCCTTGAACCTGCTTAAGTGCTCAAATGAATTCAGGGCCTTGAACCTGCTTAAGTGCTCAAATGAATTCAGGGCCTTGAACCTGCTTAAGTGCTCTTTTGAGCTATACCTTTAATTGGCTTCTGCCAGTTAATTGAAGTCTCTGGACTTTTCTGTCCAGGCTGCTTCAAACCTCAATCTTTGGATCACAGCCTCTTGAGCAGATAGGATTATAGGTATGGGACACCTATAATCCTGTCTACAATCATATCTAATGGCCAGTCTCTGGGCTTCTCTCCCATCCTCCAGTTTCTATCTCTTTTTCTATATAGAAGCCATTATTTATATATTATAATCAAATATATTATTTCTCTGCATAAAACCCATCATTGTCTTAGTCACGTTTTTTTTTCCTTCTTTACCCTGCTTTGCATGTTGTAGTTTCAGGGTTTTTATGCATGTTGGCCTCTTTGCCTGAAAAGCTGTAGTACTGAAAATGTTTATGTTTTCTTTTTTTTTTTAATTTTTTATTGTAAAGATACTATACAGAGGGTTACAGTTACATGAGTGAGGTAATGAGTACACTTCCTCTTGAACATTGTTAGCCCCTCCATTGTTTTCCCCTACCATCCCCTCCCTCCCTCCCTTCCCCGAAGTTCTTTTTTTTTTTTGATTGTGATTAAGTGATTACATAATTTCTAAGTCACAAAAAGGCATTTCCCTTAACTACTCTAATTTTTTTTCTTGTCTTTATTGCCTTACTTTTTTTTTTTTGCCAGTCTGGAGCATGAACTCAGGGCACCAACTTCTTTTGCTCAAGGCTAGCACTCTACCATGTGAGCCACAGCACCACCTCTGGCATTTTCCTGTTTATGTGGTACTGAGGAATTGAACCCAGGACTTCACTCATGACAGGCAAGCACTCTACCACTAAGCCACATTCCCATCTTTGTCATAAACTCCACCTTTTTGAAATTGTTTATTAACTTATGTGCCACCATCCCTCCCTCAAGCACACACTAGACAAACAGATCCAAGAGAACTGAAACTGTTGAGGTCTTTCTGTTTTCCCACTGATAACCTCACTGCCTACCAAAGTACTTGGGACATGGCAAGTTCTCTCTCTCATCTATACACACAAACACACACACAAATGTTAAGTGAATAAAGAACAAACTAACTTACCTGTCGAGCAGTGAGCAGCCGCTCATTGATCTCCTTCTTGAGGTCTCCATTATCATCCAGCTCCCCTTTCTCCAGGGCATCCAGCCACCTTTGTTCCTCCTCTTCCTCTTGGCCCCCTAAACTTCCTGACAACTCCGGAAGTGGGGAGGGGGACAGATTACTGTCTTCATCTGGGAAGGAAAATAGAAGAGTTAAAAGTTGACTTGTTCAAAGAATCCTCAAGTAGCCAGGTTAATATTGGAACATTCAGTATTACCCACTTCAAACCATCCTCCCTTCTTTTAGCCAGGTACAAGATTAACCCAGTTTTCCCACCTCCAGATCCTTCTCACCCAGCCAGGCTCGGTATTGCTCTAGGGGGACTCCTTCCATAGGTTCTTCTTCATTATCCACCACCATCAAAGGAGAGGGTGATCGAGGACCCTCAGGGATCACAGTGAAGGTAGGAACACTGCAGAAAAGCAACTCTGTAAAGTGAGCAAATGTGTCCCCCTGCTCAGTAGCTGCAGACAGGCTTTCCAATCCTTGCTGTCTTGATCTGGGCCCTGATTATCAGTACCTACACTCTTGTCTTCTAGAAAGCCCATCCACCTTCCCACGTCTCTCTTTACCTGCTCCTAGAAGTTCCCCAAGTAAAACCTTTTCCCAATCGGTCTCACCTCTTGGTGCCCAGGACCTGGCCACCAAGCTTGATTTTGAGTTTAAGCTGGGGCTTGACAGAAGAGGGCTGTGTCAACCCAGCGTCCTCTTCTTGATGATGTTTCTTTTTATGTTTCTTCTTGTGCTTTTTGTGTTTTTTCTTGTGCATTCCGTGGCCGTGGGCAGCAGCCAGGCTCAACTCTAATGCTTCCCCTGTGAGAGAAGAGCTTGTCAAAGGTGTTCGACCGAACCCCGGAATTAAATACACCCCAGAGGGGTCCCACTCTTCCCGCGTTACTACCTGTTACCATAACAACAGCACTGCCTTTTCCCCCTCTACCAGTGATTAGGTGCCTAGGAAACCCGGAGGAATGAAAGAAGTTACTTAGCCAAGAAGACCTCAAGGTGACTGACCCGCACTTACCCGGCTCTGGGGCCTCCATTGCCCCAGGGGTGCTCCCGCGCCTCCACAGCTTACTCATGGGGTCTTGTAAGGAAAGGGGACTGGAAATCGTCGGGACACCTGCCGCATGCCTTTTCCGCCCCGCGGAAGAACTGACTCCAGCAAAAATAATCGGCTACTTCCGGTGCGCCGCCACCATGCTTGTGCGTGGCAGGCTTCGCAGCCAAAGCCTTCCCCGGGAAACTACCATCCCGCCGACGAAGGTTCCCCCAATGGAGCACGTCGCTCCAAACAGAAAGAAACGAGGCTTTCCAGATGATGTTTTTGCTGTTCTGCGTTTTATGCAATGCTGAGGCGTGTGCCCTGGATCTGGGTGCTTTCTGTTAGCTTTGTCACTCAGGCTAGTGCTCTACTGCTTGAGCCATTGCTTCCTTCTGGGTGATTACTTGGAGATAAAAGTCTCACGGACTTTCCTCCCCGGCTTGTGTAGCTAGGACTACAGGCGGGAGCCACCGTGCCAGTCCTGGGGCTGAAACTCAGGGCTTGGGCACTGGCCCTGAGCGGCTTTTGCTCAAGGCTGGCCCTCTACCATAGCACCACTTCTGGCTTTTTCTGTTTATGTGGTGCTGAGGAATCGAACCCAGAGCTTTATGGATACTAGGCAAGCACTCGACCACTAAGTCATATTCCCAGACGTTTATTTTTTTATTCATTTTTGTTGTGGGGTTGAATTCAGGCCACAGTGCTCGCTGCTACCGAGCTTTTTCGCTGAAGGCTTTTCTGGTGGTTAATTGGAAATAAGACTCTCATGGACTTTTCCTGCCAGGCTTTGACCAGCGATCTTCAGATCTCAGCCTCCTGAGTAGCTAGGATCACAGGCGTGAGCCACCAGCACCCGGCTGCAGTTTCATATTCTCTCTCTCTCTCTCCTTTCTTCTTCTCTTTCTCTCTCTCTTTCTTTTCTTTTTTGTTGTTGTTGATCATGGGGTTTGAACTCTGGGCCCGAGCACTGTCCCTCAGCTCTTCAGCTCAAGGCTAGCGCTCTACCACTTGAGCCACAGCACCACTTCCGGCTTTTTTCTTTTTGCTTATGTGGTGCTGAGGAATGGAACCCAGGGCCTCATGCATGCAAGGCAAGCGCTCTACCACTGAGCCACCTTCCCAGCCGCTCTAGTGGTTTATTGGAGATGAGAGTCTCACAGACTTTCCTGCCTGGGCTGGCTTTGAACCACAATCCTCAGATCTCAGCCTCCTGAGTAGCTAGGATTACAGGCATGAGCCACTGGCCTGGCAATATGCTACATTTTTTTTTTCTAGTCCAACACCCAAATATCATGTGCCACATTTATTTATCAAGTGTCTCTAATCTGTTTCAATATGGAACATTATTTTATTCTTGTCTTTTACGATCTTGATTATTTCATATAATTAGCAATAATTGCACCTCAAATCTTCTTGGTTTTGATACTGTCACTGTGTGAAAACTTAATTTTAACTATTTTAGAGGATGATTTTTGATTTTAGAATATGGTATCTCTGGTGTTAACTTGTATCTATATTTATAAATTCTAGGCATTCAGGATATGAAGTGATAGCGTGCTTTCCTAAACTTATAAATTACTTGCAGAACTACCATATGCACAAAAATCAGATAGTAGATACTAAGGATGTTATGATCTGAGGATCGCAGTTTGAAGCCAACATAAGCAAGAAAGTCTATGAGACTCTTATCTCTAATTAACCATCAAAAAGCTAGAAGTGAAGCTATAACGGAAGTAGTAGAGTGTTAGCCTTGAGTAAAAAAGCAAAAAAAAAAAAAAAAGGATAACACCCAGGCCTTGATTTCAACTCCTGGTAGTAGCACACACATGCACATACATACACAAACACCCCCCCCCACACACACACACATACCACAAAACCAAAACTATAAAAAACCTTGTGGATGTCTGCCCATCTCATTAGTGATTATGTTAACCTTGATTACTTGGTCAAAGTGGCTCCTTTTATTGTATATCACCATATTTGCCTTGATACATAAGTATTTTGGGAGAAAAGATTCTGAACAATCCTAATATTGTGTTCTTTATTGAACCTCCACTCATCAAGGTTAGTATCCACTGATGAATACTAAATGAATGAACTGTACCATAAATATTGCCAAGTGGTGATCAACATTTATTTTTGCATTTACATGTATTAGTTAATATTGCCTTCTTTTGCATTTATCTACATATGATGTTTGTTTATTTTTATTACCTTTACATAGGAGTTTCAATTCAACCTATCCATTTTTGTGTATGTATGTGTGTGCTGTTCCTGGAGCTTGAACTCAAGGCCTGGGCATTGTACCTGGGCTTTTTTTTTTTGCTGAAGGCTAGTGCTCTACCACTTGAGCCACACCTCTAATTCTAGATTTTTAGTGATTGGTCTCAAGTATTTTCTTGCTCAGGCTGGCTTTGGACCACAATCCTCAGATCTCAGCCTGATGAGCAGCTAGGATTCATAGGCATGATCTACCCATGCCCAGCAACATTTTAATTGATGAGTATAATGCATCTTGATCAATGTCACCCTTCCATATTTCTCCTCCATCTCTCCTAAGCTCATCTATCCCCTCTGGTTACCTGGTTTATGTATTTATTTGGTGGTGGTACTGGGGTTTGAATTCAGGACTTTGTAATTGCTAATCATGTATTCTACCACTTGAGCTATACCCATAGTCTAGGAAATTTCCTTGATTTCTTTTTTTTTTTTTTGTCCTATTTCTGGGGCTTCAGCTCTGGGTATGACACTCTTCCTTGGGTTTTTCACTCAAGGCAGGCTCTTTACCAGCAGGCTCTGCACCAGCACAAAACAACACCCCCAACAAACCCACTGACTACAATGGGAAACTGTACTAATCTAAATAAATACATTAAAACTGGTGGTTCAGGGCTGGGAAGGTGGCTCAGTGGTAGAGTGCTTGCCTTGCATGCATGAGGCCCTGGGTTCCATTCCTCAGCAGCACATAAGCAGAAAAAAAAGCCGGAAGTGGCGTTGTGGTTCAAGTGGTAGAGTACTAGCCTTGAGCTGAAGAGCTGAGGGACAGCGCCCAGGCCCAGAGTTCAGGGCCAAGGACCGGACCCCCCCCAAAAAAAGAATGTTGAGGATTTGTTTGCCTGGACTGGCTTTGAATTGTGATTCTCAGATTTCAGCCTCTTGAGTAGGTAGAATTGTAGGTGGGTACCATTGGGTGCCCCGTATACTCAATGGGTTGTAATTCATTGCTATTATGATTTTATTTCAATGCCAAAATTTGTGCTAGGTTTGGTAAGTAGTCATCCCTGGCTGACTTCTGTATCTTTATGATGTTTCTATTGTTTTTTTAGTACTTAAAAAAAAAAGCCCTTTTAGCTGGGTGCTAGTGGCTCATGCCTGTAATCCTAGCTACTCAGGCGCTGAGATCTGAGGATTGCAGTTCAAAGCCAGCTAGGGCAAGGAAGTCCATGAGACTCTTTTCTTTTTTTTTTTGGTCGGTCGTGGGGCCTGAACTCTGGGCCTGGGCACTGTCCCTCAGCTCTTCAGGTCAAGGCTAGCGCTCTACCACTTGAGTCCACAGCGTCACTTCTGGATTTTTCTGCTTATGTGTGCTGAGGAATTGAACCCAGGGCCTCATGCATGCAAGCAAGCAATCTACCACTGAGCCACCTTCTCACCCCTCCATGAGACTCTTATCTCCAATTAACCACTTAAAAAGTGGAAGTGAATGGGCTGGGAAGGTGGCTCAGTGGTAGAGCGTTTGCCTTACATACATGAGGCCCTGAGTTCAATTCCTCAGCACCACATAAACAAAAAGAAAAAAGGCGGAAGTGGCGCTAAGTGGTAGAGCGCTAGCCTTGAGCTGAAGAGCTGAGGGACAGCGCCCAGGCCCAGAGTTCAGGCCCCACGACTGGACCCCCCCCCAAAAAAAAAACAATAATAAAACTGGAAGTGAAGCTTGACGCCAGTGACTCACACCTGTAATCCTAGCTATTCAGGAGGCTGAGATCTGAGGATCGAGGTTCAAAGCCAGCCCGGGCAGGAAAGTTCGTGAGACTCTTATCTCCAATAAACCCCTAGAAAACTGGAAGTGGTGCTGTGACTCAAGTGGTAGAGCGCTCACCTTGAGCTGAAGAGCACAAGGACAGCACCCAAGTCCAGAGTTCAAACCCCCAAGACCCCCCCAAAAAAAAAGAAAAGAAAAGAAAAAAAACTGGAAGTGACACTGTGGCTCAAAGTTGTGGAGCACTAGCCTTCAGCAAAATAAAGATCTGGGACAGCACCCAGGCTCTGAGTTCAAGTCCCACAACTGACAAAATAAATAAATAATCAAGTAAACAACTTTATTATTTATTTATTTTGCCAGTCCTGAGGCTTGAACTCGGGCCTGGGCTCTGTCCTTGAACCTCTCTGTGCTGAAGGCTAGCACTTTATCAGTTGAGCAACAGCACCACTTCTTGCTTTTTCTGTTTATGTGGTACTGAGGAATCAAACCCAGGGTTTCATGGATGCTGGGCAAATACTCTACCACTAAGCCACATTCCCAGCCAAGTAAACAACTTTATAACACTACATCTTGTACTGTTCTCATCTTGTACTCCATGCAGATAAGGAATGAGAATCAAGTCAGGCCAGGCAGTAGGAACATAAGCCTATGGTTGTGGCCAGGCCACACTAAAGTCATGTCAAACTTGCTAGTAACCATTCCCTGCTGCCATCACCACCCACATCTTGATGTGACTGTAGCATGAACTCTCTTTGGGTCTTATTAACACTCCAAGATTCAAAGTTCAATTGAGAACTTTCATTTGTTGACCTTAGACCCTAGTCTATAAAGGAGTGAGAGAGAAGATAAAGGCTCTCTAGCTGCTATCAACCAATATTCTCCTGTGGAAGACTGTGCAGAAAGAGGAAGATAATTTGAATCCTGCAAGATCCATAACACCTTCCCCAAATACATACATTATAATGAAGAATATACATATACTGACATAATCAAAAGGGGAAAGTTGGTAAGACTTGTACACTAAACCACTGGCCTGCTGGTAAATATTTAACAAAAGATCCCTAGGGTTGAAAAAAAAAAACAGCAGCAATTTGTAGTGTCCACTCATTTCTGTTGTGTAAACACTCTAACTAC